CATGTATACATACATATACATATGCAGTGCTCACGTTAAATGAAATGCATGCATATTATACCCATGAACGCGTATCTATATGATAATGTGAATAACCAACTGAAAGACATATGAATTTTAAAAAAGCTTTCACATCTACACGCATCGATTTATACATAAACGGATATTTGAGAGTAGGAGAAAAAAAAAAAAAAAAAAAGTGAAAAATGTACGTGCTCGCGTTTATTCATTTTAAATATAATGGAATAGTAAATCTTCTCTACCTTTATATAACGCGGCACTGGATTGCCGCTTGCCTAGATGCGACGAGTAGATGATCATGATTTGTTCAATTTGAACATAATACCGGATAAATGGATACATAAATGTGTGTGTAAATCTGTATAACCGTAGCTGGATGATTCTGTCACATACGGTCTAGGTAAGACTTGAAAGAATTCATCGTTTCATGGGGACCATATGTGTACTAAATACATTTACGTATCACAATCATGGAATTTGCATCACGTTTTATATATATATATATATATATATATATATATGTATATATATATTTATATATGTACTCGTAAATATACTTATGTGCAGCATGTGGATTGTTGTCTGCTGGATTGTTCTTATCTTACGAAGTTTATGTGCGTTTAGATTTTAACACAAACTTTCGCTCTTCGCTAGCTAAGGTTTCAAAAAATATTTGTACGAAAACGTAAAGTCTACGAAACACGTACATTAGCAGACCATTTAAAGTAATACTAAAAGCATATTTACGATCCCATTGAAGAAATGATTGCTCTACGCAACGTAATGTTCTGGTTCAGGCCAGAAACGGATTGAATTTATTCCGCCATATGCCGAACTTTTTCATAGATGGTTTGCAGGTATCAACTTGAGATCAATGCAAATTCTACTAAATATTTCTTGACATAATTTTTCAAAGCAATAATAAGTAAAAAAGCAAATTATATTGAGTTGCGGTCGAATCTTCTAAACTCAATCTTCTATACGCAATTTTTCGAACAAGTCAAATTTCGATATTTTATCATATTGGCATAGACCATTTCATTGTATCAGTTGAAAACTTAATGCCTTTGAAAATAAAATGTATTAAGAGGCGAGTCCTTTAGCCAATTTGATCCGTTTTTAGTATTAATTTGTGTAAAAGAATTTAAAAAAAAAAAATCTGCTTAATTTGAAGACGATAATATCATTCTTGGAACCAGGAGAATGCTTACTACCGACCAACAGATGAGCACAGCAAAGTCAATACAAAGTTTCATGCTGAACAAAAATATATAAACTTTATAGTGTCTCTGAAGCTTCCTTGTGGGTTTTTTAAGTGCTTTCGGAAAAGGAATATGCTTCGTAAGGTTCGGCGATGGAGTAGACTTAAGCTGGCAATAGGAGCGAGACAAAGAAGAAATATTTGTATGGCCCAAAACAAGTAAGAAAAATACTTGAGTTTAGGAGATGATCATATAAAGCCGGCTTAGTTCAGAACTTTTTCTAATTTTCTAACTGTTACAATAATGTTTAAAGTTGAATTATGTTAATTCTCAAATTTGATCTGCTAGCCGTAAGACCTCAAAAATTTTAATTCGAAACGGAAAAGGACTTAATGCACGAAATTACATTATTTCAAAATCCCCCGCGACCAATAAGCCCAGTAAGAGCATAATTCTTCAGCTTTCAGAAATAATCGACGGCAGTAATAATGCAATCCGGATTCTATCATGGAGTATAGCCGGTATGAATACGTAACGTAATGCATCAAGACAGCGAAATACTTCGAAGAATTCTTATAGAATTTTGTGAATTTTTTGCAAATCTGGTACGGGTGTCAAAGGCAGGAAAATGAAGGCTATAGATTTACGAAAGGACAAACCTACCTAAATGGATTTTCCTTATTATTTCTGTTAAAAATATAGTGGGTAAGACTGTACACTTGGCTGCCTAATGTCATGCGTTGCTGATACGTATAAGGCTTTAGAATATGGATTACGAAAACTCACTACCATAAGCTATATATTAAAAGCATCATCATATAGCTGTGTTCGGAAAACTATTTTATTTTAACCGAAAACTGTTTTACTTCTGTGCGTATTTAACCTTAATGTTACTTAAGTTCATTTATTCAATTTAGATGGCACGAAAACAAATGTTCAGTTGTAATTCATTTTTAAGTATTCGCAAATTTAAGGTCAGCTTATTTGTCCCTTTACGATGTTTAAAGCCTTTAATCCTCGGCATAAAATTAAATTATTTTGTAGCACCGTTTGCGTCACTAATAAAATTTTCGAAAAGTTCCTTTGACCTATAATTATAGTTATACCTGTATACTATAATGTGCATTGAGTTTGCAGGTCAAAGCAAAATATCCTTTAACGCAAAAGGTTTATTAATGCGTTTTTGCTTAAGTATTAGTTTGTACATATTTAAGGTTCAATAACTTTATGACTTCTGCTACCCCCAATGGGAGAGTATTAAGTTGGCTCAATAGTTTACTTAACAAAACTTTTCATTATAAATAGAAAGTATAAGGTATTAAGACATGATATTTATCCTTTGGGCAAAGAGATGCTAGACATTATAAGTTTAATATACACACCTGTCCATTAAATCACGGGATAAACGAATTCTTGGTGAAATCGTGAACATGAGGAAAAGTTAAGACTGCGCTCTTTTCGGACCTGCGATAGCCGATGATGAGAGGATGGCAGCGAGGGGAATTGATTCAATAATTCTCCCTAACGTCTCTGCACTCCTTATCCTAGAAATCCTAGAATCAAGAAAATGGCTTCATTAGCTCGCCCGTAGTTACCGAACAAATGGTTATGTTGAATTTCGTATATTACGAACTCAAAACTTATTGAATCTAGAGCTACATATTTGAGTTTCTTCATCAAAGTCGCTATTCCATCCGAAATTGTTTTTAGGTATTTCCCGGATCGGCTCGAGCCATTTTTTAAAGTTGACTAATTTATTTATTAAAGCAGCGGAATTCACGTGAATTCAAGTTCGTGAAATATAAAGATCCGTACATTTAATGGATATTTTATAGATCTTTCCAACATTCCCATATATATAACTAAAAATATTGCTCTATGGGTTTTACGTGAACATTGGTCATAGTCATAGTATAAGTGCCTCCCTCCTCTGAGTAAATCTCGAGCAAATAATCCAATTTGTGTGAATCAAAGCAGTCAAGAAATTCCCCCAAGTAAACCGTTCGCAGGTTTCAGATTGAAGTCTATTTTCTTAAGGCATCTAATCCCCAGAAACAGATTTTGTAAAACGCACTGTAAAACGTGTAATGACAGGAGATAGCTATATTCTTAGTTGGATTCGCATTGCCGGACTGACAAAGTTCTTTTTTATCACGACGGACTAGCAACATTACTTTTTTTCGTAAAAAGTGTCCAATGATCGAGAAAGACATCTCTTACAAAGTTTTCTAGCCCTCCTTGTACTTTTTTAATCCACGTACCTTTATAATATTGGGGCTAGAAAGAATAGAGCGTCCGTTGCTTCTACGAAAACCCTTTCTATGATATATCTACTTCTCTTCTCTATAGGGGTTTAAGATTGACAGGGCATATGAATCGGTTATTAACGCCAGCCATGGCGCGGAGAGATAAAAATTTATTTGGAAAGTCAATTTACCTTCTTCTCTTAGGCGCTATCACACTATGCACACGTGCCAAGTGTAACTGGTCTACAGGTTAGAATCAATCCTGAAGGCGAATCCCGTCAGCAAGAAACCGAAGTCGTCGCCAGCAAAAATCAATAATCATAAATTTAGGAGCAAGGAATACAAATGGGAATTGGTTGCGGATCCGTAAAATGAAAAGTATGCCGACAATAAGTTCTCGTATATTTACGTAGACTCTGTTAGGGATTCACCCGTCGAGTTCACAAATCAATTGCCCGCGAATAGAAACATCGATGGAAGGAACTTCTCATTCGTTTGGCCAAGGATGTGGATAAAATTTGTTTTAGGACAAAGATAATTATTTTTACCATTAACCGGTTAAACAGTCGAATT